CAGCAGGTTTGCGGCGCAGCGCGCCCTCTCTCCCCAGTGGCTGGGGTGTGAAGACCCTCTGAATCAGCCACTCGGACCAGAGGTCAGACTGGGCCTGGGCACCCCACCTGCAGGGCCTTCTTCCTGCAAACTCTGTCCTTAGCGAGCTCTGCTGGTCAGGAGAAACAGCAGCCCTCCACGCACTCGCGAAGTACGGATGGAAACGCTCCGTGAAGAACGGAGATCCTCTCTCCCTCCCTCTCTGCCCCACGGCCTCTTCCTAATTTCCTTTCTTTTGGAGAAGTCCCGCAATATCCTAAAGGCATGGGGGGAATGCACCTGAAAGACGGTTGCAGATAAACTGGGCTGCAGAGAGAGCTGTGAGCCAGGAGAGGGACGTGGGACCAGGCCAGAGCGCCGGGTGCCAGGAGCCGTGCGGGGGAGGAGGGAGGCTGCCCAGGAGTGGGACCCTCAGACCACAGGCGGCCTTCTCCCCACACCCCAGGGCTGGATCTGTGAGATTTTTGGAAAGAGAATGCAACTCAGGAGAAGCACCGGATGTGTAAACTGCAGAGAGGCGGGTCCTGGGGGGCCGACAGAGCCCTGCCCTCAGCTCCGGCAGGGCCTGCAGAGCCCGGGAGGACACTGCCCGCCGTCCTGACTCCCGACCTGAACCGACACCCAGAGCTCTCAGAGAAGACGGCTGGCCAACTAGGGGACCATAGGGCATCACGCCGACTCATCATTGCGACAGATGCAGCCACCAAGTCCAAAGAGGTGGTGTAGGTGGTGTAGTGGCTAAGCTGCTGGGCTCTCACTAAGGCCAACCATGGTTCAAGTCCTGGAACCAGCTGCTTGATAATCACGCTGGGCGCGTGTGCGTGCGTGCCCAAAACCCCAGGAGGAGAATGGAGGAGAAGAGATTGCAGTGTGGCCATCCCCCGGGGAGATTTCCTACTTTCCCTCTCTTTGTCTCTCCAGTGAGTATATTGCCCTATGGCAAAAAAACTAAAAAAAAAGTATGGACCGGTCATTCTCCCACCATGTTGAGTGACAAGGGACTCACACAGACTCCTCTGTAACTGGAGGTCTCCTCAGGCACGGACACGGGCCCACAGGACTCCCCGAACTTCTGACGGAGAAGCTAAGTTTACTTTTATTTCTCCCATGAGAGACAGGGAGAGAGGGAGAGAGAGCACCTTTGGGAGGGTCTTCGTGCCACGACCTGGTGCCCAGGTCAGGGGCATGCACATGCCCTGTGGGTAGGGAGGTCCCGGGACACCAGCCCGGGCCTTCCCATGAGGGCCCAGCTGTGCAACCTCGGTTACGGCCGGCCTCAGGCACAGATGCTTCTCGGCAGGGAGTGGGATGGGCGTGGCGTGGGGCTGCTGAGCAGGGGTTCAGAGAGCACGTGGGCTGTGTGGTCAGGAAGAGGCCACGAGGACATTTCCCTGCACTCCAAGACAGGCTGGGGCATCCTGGGGCGGTCTGGGGAGTCCTGGCAAATGCCAGGGCCGGGCCTGGGTCTTGCCCAGAACCCTGAAGGTGTCCCTCCCCAGGGCATACTGTCCAGTGGCTTGGGGAAGGAAGGTTCTGGAACCTCTCAAGGAGACACAACATGCCTTTCCCACGCACTGCAGGGCTCTGGGCTCACGAAGTGGGCTACGGCGAGGTGACAGCGCCCAGCCACCCGGAGGTGAACTCAGGGTGTTTTCCTTCAGCAAGGGCGAGCTGGGGCAGGCAGGGAGCAGAGCGGAGGGCCGGACCTGCAGCCACCCGCAGGGGGAGGCCGGGAGGGAGCTGGCTGTTCCCACAGCCCCTGCCTGGCCCCGTGGGTTAACAGAACCGTTCCCCCCGAGTCTGCTGTAGGACCAGAGGCCCTGGTGGCGGCGCTGGAGGCTGTCCAAGACCCTTATTAATGGCTTCAGACCTAATTGACTCCTAATTGCCGCAGAGCCTTGGAAAGCTCCCTGACACAGAAGGGCTGGGCCGCACCTTGGTGTGACCCTGAGCCTTTACGGAAAGGCTCCCAGGGGTGTTCCCAGGCAAATCCCGGGGGAGGGGAG